AAAAAAATGAACAAATGGAAGGACGAACACTCAGACATATGGATGGATGGCTGGATGAAGATCGACAGATGGACAGACATATAGATGAACCCACAGACAGACAACTTGACAAACAGTTGCACAGCCAGCCAGAGACACAGAAGGACAGAGTGATATGTAGACAGACAGAGGGACAGACAAATGAACTAAGGGATATACAGACATAAGGCAGTCAGGCAGATGGGCACTCTCATTAGCCATTAGAGGGATAAATATAAGATACATAACTCATTATCATTATGAATGTTTCTTTTATGCAGGGTCCTTTGGTGCAGTTGGATTTCTTGCAAATGTTTCATTGCACCCAAAGTAAATAACATCATCACTAGCACTGGAGTCTGTCTGTCCACATGTCAGTCTGTCCTTCTGTCTGTCTGTTGAGTTGTCTGTCTGTGGGTCCGTCTGTGGGTCGGTCAATTCAACCCTGAGCTACAAATATTCTCCCTTATTGTTTCCTTTATATGAATACATTAAAAATGTTGTACATGGAGCAGACAATTCTACTGCCTCAGCACTCAAGTTTCCATTAGAAGGAAAATGTATCTCCAGTCTTCCACCTCATGCTTATGCTTGTAAATATGCAGGCAATGCTGGTGGAAATGTGTAAAGACGAACGATTTGGAGAAGGCAGAGGATTTGTGTATGGGACAAATAATAGTTTATCCTTTAATGCTGATGTTCATATTATATGGAGAAGACAAACTGAAACTGCCTGTTGACCCCAGAGGTTGGAGGATGGGGATAAGGTGACAGATAACAAAAACCAGGTTGCTATCTTTTCTGTGCTTTAAAGAGGTATATAAAAAAAGGTAAAGGTTCCCCTCATACATACGTGTTAGTTGTTTCCGGATCTAGGGGGCAGTGTTCATCTCCGTTACAAAGCTGAAGAGCCAGCGCTGTCCAAAGACATCTCCATGGTCATGTGGCCGGCATGACTAAATGCCAAAGGTGCATGGAACACTGTTACCTTCCTACCAAAGTGGTCCCTATTTTTCTACTTGCATTTTTTACATGCTTTCGAACTGCTAGGTTGGCAGAAGCTGGGACAAGTAATGGGAGCTCACTCCGTTACGCAGCGCTAGGGATTCGAACTGCCGAACTTTCTGATTGACAAGCTCAGCGTCTTAGCCTCTGAGCCACCACGTCCTTATAAAGAGGTATATAGGGAGATAGTAAAGGACATTGCTTGTGTTAGAAGTTGCTAGTATCAGTAGAACAGACAGGCTTGGGGTCTCCTTAAAGCAGCAGAATGAAGAGGCACCAGATCAACCCACAGAAGGGTTCCTCCCATGATGTTATCCTCTATTCCTGCAGCAAAGATAATTTTAGAACTTGCGCTGCTTTTCTAAGTCATTGCAGAGAGTATATAATCTGTAACCTTGTGGCTCCCTCATGCTTAAGGTAGAGGTAGGTCTTGATTAGTGCTGCTAAGGAATCCCACAAAAAGGTCCCATTATTCAGGTTGGCATTACTCAAAGTGATATTTCTGTGGCAAAGAAAGTTATGTGGTTCCAGCTTGATGGAAATAGACAGTGAACATTTTTAAACACAAATTTGTATATGTTTATCGATGAACTATAAAAAGATTAAAAGAATATATTTGGAAATTTATTTTTAATAAAGTCACACAGGAGATATACAGTAGAAAGCATAATAAAAACAAAAATTCTAAATGTTCCTATTGATAAGAATACTGATTTATTAATAAAAAATTTTTAAAAATCAAGTAAACAAGAACAAGGACAAACTAGAGGATAAATCCATATTCAAAGCATACCTGCTCTCTGTTGTATTCTGCTGTAACTCTTCAAAATTAGCCTCTTCTTTTTGTACTTTTCTCAAACAGAGCTTCCCTTTTCTCCATTTTGCACACATGATGTAGTGTTAGTATATAAAACCCAAATGCAACGATGCATGTGCTAGCCTCAACTGTGCGTATTTGCCTCTCATTAAGTCAGTTTTGGCTTGCATTAAATACGACCTATCAATATATAATTTGCAATAAATCAAATGCTGCGCTATTTGAACTTGCACTCAGCGGGACTTATCCGTAGTTCTGAATGCTGATAAAATATACTTTTTGCACCTTTCTTCAAATATCTTGGTGGCTTACTGAAGTGGGCATTTTCTCCATAACAGAAAGAATTTCACTATGGTGCTTGTCTCCTTCTGCCAACAGGTAACGGGCAGTGCAGGTGTGGTCATTGCCAATGCCAGGCCAATTACACTGGCAATGCATGTGAGTGCAGCCTGGATACCAGTGGATGCACCCAAGAGGGCAAGATCTGCAATGGGCATGGCCACTGCGTCTGCAACCGATGTCAGTGTGACGTTGGGTGGTTGGGCAGCCACTGTGTTGACCACCAGATGCCCTGTGAGGTGCACAGGTGAGGCTGAGGAGAGGAAGCCAATGCACAGAGGGAAAAGACTGGCTGCTTGTTCATGGTTCCTTTTAAGCAGGGGGGCTTCATTGAGCAAAGCTCGTTGTCAGTCACTGCCCTGATTAAGTCAAAGAGAGAACCATTACCATGTACTTTGACTGGGTTTGATGCCAATGACATTGCACTTTTCCATTGTTCATCAATACTGCACAGGAGCACTGGATACTTTCAATGCAAGTTTGCTTGAGCAAGTTGGCATCCTAAATCCTTCCATTTAGTTGGAATACGGTGGGCATCAGTGAAGCAAGCAGACCAGAAACTTGGGATAGCTTAAAACAGGGTTGCAAATGCTGAATTGCTGGGATTGTCTAAATGATGAATTGTCTGCATACATTGAGAGCATATGCACCAAAGACAAATTCCTTGTGTGTCCATTCACACTCGGCAATAAAGAATTCTATTCTATCTACTGAATTGCAGGGTCTCTAGAGTATCACCCAAGGTTGCCATCACATTTTAAGTGACAGACGGGGACATTAGCAAGTAACTGGAGGGCTCCATGAGTTTTTATATTCCTAGCCAGCCCATTGACAACATTAAGAACTGCAGTCCTAGCATTTTCAGAAGATGCCAGCTTTAGGAAGATTTCATTGGGCTTCACTGTGCTACTACAGGTAGCTCTGGACTTATAACCACAACCACAACCCCATTCCATTCCATTCCATCCCCATCCCTATCCTTATTGTATGCTATTCCACTCCACTCCACTCCATTCCATTATTCTCTATTCTATTAATGTATTATTTCTATTTCTATTCTATTAATTTCCATTGCTAAGCAAGGTGGTTATTTAACTGAGTCGCACCTGATTTTTATAATCTGTTTTTGCCATGGTTGTTAAGAAAATTACTACAGCTTTTAAGTGGATTATGCAGTTGTTAGGCAAATCTGGCTTCCCTCATTGTCTCTGCTTGTTGGACCAGCAGAATTGGCAACCACATGATCCTAGGGCCATGCAACCATCATAAACACATGCCGGTTGCAAAGTGCTCACATTTTGGTTATGTAATTGTGCGGATGCTGCAGTGCTAGTAAATGTGCGGGCTAGATGGTTTTAAGTCACTTTTTTTCCAGTGTCATTGTAACTTGGTCACTAAACAAATTGTACCTTCATGACACTATCAGCTTGTATTTCTGTTTATTTAGTAGCTCTCACCCCTTTTAATAAGCAAATTGGAACATTAGAGCTTCACTACAGAAGGAACTTTTTCTGTGTGATCATATTGCATTGTTCCAAATTGTTATTATTATGTGAGCTAAAAATCTGCCCCTTTTAGGTTTGCATATATGCTTGTTTATCCTCAGACTTATAGGTGGTCTTACTCAGAGTTTATAACTTCAGGCAAATCAAATTATAAAACCACTTCAGAACACGTGCTCATTTTTGCCACTGAATGTTAGTAGGGATTCACAATATAGAAAAGGAATCTAATCTGGGTGGACAAATCAAGCAACATTGGCCTGTTTATTTTATAAACAAAACCAATCAATGTATTGTGATGTGAGAGAAAAAAATCCCCCCCTTTCCCATCACCAACTGGTTGAACCACATTTAGTTGCCCAGGTGATCAAACAGTTCTCCATTGGTGCTAGCATTTTTTTTGGGGGGGGGGGGTATGGGTGTGGGGGGCCCATTCTTTATGCTAAGCAAGAGTAAATAAAAGTGCCCAGTTTTAAAAACAATACATCTGTTGATAGGGATTGTGCGGAGTGCAAGGCTTTTGGAACTGGACCACTAAGTCAGAACTGTAGCAATTCCTGCAGCCAAACGGTGAGAATGTTGGTGGCACCCGTGGATGAGAGATGGTGCCAGATGAAGAGAGGAGATGGACACCTCCTCATTTATCTCATTGAGGAGGACAAGACAGGCAGCATCCTCCTTACGGTGAATGACCCAAAGGGTGAGTTGTCAGGGGAAGAAGTGTGAGCTTGTGATATTATTCTTCTGTCTTCTGTTCTGTTGGGATTTCCCAGAGACCATCGATTAGATATGCTGGGAATGGGAAGGAGGGAGGGAGGGAGGAAAGAAGGTAGGTAGGTATTGGGTTTCTGGTGGGATCCAGACTCAGGATCTATTTATATGCTAGGCAGCCTGTGATGCTATAGCAGGAAAGGGAATCTGCGTACATCACCGTAAGGAGCTGTGGCAGAATCGAATTTCTAAATCAACTGCTCGCTAACCATGCTTTGCTGAATAAACCACAACTCACTGGATTTTCCCATTGCACTAGATATGTAATTCACGTTATGTCTTAGTGTGATATGTAAATCTAATCGGTATGCTTTCATACATCATTTGCCCCTTGATAGATGGGATCTGTAAGATTCAATCTAGGCAAAAAACAAGGGTGTTGTTTTTTTTTGCATAAGTATTGGCTCTAGATGGCAGCTGACATGTACAAATTGCTTCAGTATTCATCTTACTATCTTTGAACTATGAGGAGATATTGTTCCTCCTCCCTTACCTCAAATCATCTGGAGTTAGATGCAAACTGCAGCTAGAGATTATACACAAAGATGGGGGAGGACAATGGCTGGGTTTAAACATCGTACAAAGCTTTTGGTTCTATTTTTGGTTAGCTCTAGCATATCTTTGGTTGACCAGCTATCACATTTAAGCATATTGCACTTAGCGCAGTGAGTGAATCCAGCACATAAATCTTGCTACCAAAATGAAAATGGCTGTCTCTTCAAAATGGCTGCTCTCTCCCCCCGCCTCCTCGTGCCCTTCTATTCTGTAAAGAATGACATTTAATAATACTAGAGAAATGTCATTAGCTGACATGACAGCTTCCCAATGTTGCTCTTTGGGGAGCAGAGCATTACAGCGGAAACAGTGGTGGCAGAACTTCACCCCTGAAAAACAGAGCCTCCAGCAAATCCCCATCACATTATTTGACAAGCCTAGCTCTGTAGGCAAGTATAAGCAAAACAAATCAATATCCTCAGTCTGCAAAAGAAATAACGTTTAACCTTGGTACAAGGAAGAAGCTATTTGGAAGCCCTACTATGGGAAGATGAGCATGGATGCTACATAGCAAGGCACAGGATACATGGCTACAATGGAAGATAGAAAAGGGAGGAAATAGCAAAGGAATGGAAAGTAGCTTCTCCAATTCCTGGTGGGAGTGTTGGCAACTTAGGTTAACCCCCATGCTTCTTTTCTTTGTTCTGGCAGTGCCGGATTCTACCAGGCAGCTGAATCTTATGCCAGTGTTAAGGAGTGCGGGGATTGTGGTGATCATAGGGCTGGCTCCCATTGTCCTGCTCCGAGTCATTGTGGAGATCTGTGACCGGTGGAATTTCAGACACCTTGAAAGAGAACGAAGAAATGCTCTGTGATCTCAGGTCAGTGCCCTTCGAAGCATTTTCAACTTGTAAGGCCGTGCTGAGGGGCAAACCTGACCCACCGGTAGGCTTTGCACCTTGGGAAACACCTGCAGAAAATCCAAAGGACAAAGCTCTTCCTCCTGGAAAATGTAAAATTTGCATGTTATTCGCACATTGCATATAACCAGTGGAAGAGTTTGCCTTCAGAAGTTGTGGGTGCTTCAACACTGGAGGTTTTTAAAAAGAGACTGGACAGCCCCTTGTCTGAAATGGTATAGGGCAGCGGCCCCCAACCGTTTTGGGCACCAGGGACTAATTCCATGGAGAGGTTTTTCCATGGACTGGAGGCGGCATGGTTTCATATGCTGCAAGCATACGAGGGGCATATTGTTGCTTGTTCTTAACCATACATGCTGTTATGAATATGAGTCACCTAACAGCTATTTGGGTTAGAAATATATAAACCAGGATAAACATTTTAAAACTGTATCTTTAAGAAAATGCAAAACTCTAATTAGGTGTGGTTTCTCAAACGGCCATAAGATGGAGCCAGAAACCTGGGTTGTTTAGTCTGAGTCTCAGAAGAGAGTATGAGTGTATCTCTGTTTCCTTCTGTTGGAAAGTATTGCCGTTGCTCCATTTTTCCTAATTGACTGTTATTCTTGATTTGATGTGAGTCTGATACTGAATTGTTTTTGACACTGGAATTTGTTATTGGATTATCCCTGGATTGAAAAACTGACTGATTTATCTGTGAATGATTTTGGACTGCTTATTTTGAACTTTGCTTAAACCTTTCTGGAAGTAAAAACCTACATTTACTGTACAGTGTATCTGTGTGCTGTGTGTGTATTATTCAAACACTACTCTCAAATACGTCTCCCTGTATGCGCTCATTCTCCTAATGGGGAATTACCTCAACACATGCTGAGCAGTGCTGTTCTTCTACTTACCATTGAGGATATGAGCAGTTTGGCATCCTCCTGAAGGTTGGACTGTAGTTCTCCTCTGCTTGTTTGTACAATCAGGACTTAGGGCCCCAAGCTCCACTCAGCTTTACATGGATGGCCATAGCTTCAACAAAGCAACTGAGTCTATCTGAGATAAATTTAGCTTGGGTGCCTCAAGGCCTTTTAATGCAATTCAAGCAAATTATCAAGATCTTTTGCACAAAAGCACACAGACTTTCAAGCTGGTGTCAATTGCAGCAATCTCGCTCTGATGGTTACTCGGAGGCAATGCATCATAATGCATCAGTGTGTCACACCAAAATAGCATAAAAATGTATGAATCCTTTCAGAGATAGCTTCAGATTGATTTCTGGGGTAGTAGGGAATGGGCCTTTTCAAACATGACCACACTTGCAGATGGAGGAGCTTCCTGCTGACTTGAGGTACAAATTCAGTATTTGCACTTTGCCCTGATCTTATGATTTCTTTTTCCAGGCGAACAACTTCAAGTTCAAGAGTGCCACCACAAGAGTCACCAATAAAGAATATTTGTAGCTCAGGGTTGACATGAGGGGTCCTTGGTGCTGAGCTTGCTTGTTTTCTTGCAAATGTGTCATTGTCCTGACTAGGTAACATCATCAGTGCTAGTAAGGAGTGTTGTTAGCTGTCAGTTTATATTGTGATGTCTTGCCTGTCAGTGTGGGTGGAGACAGTCTTAGGGATTCTTTGATTGGGCTGTTTACTGATGGTTCTTTGGCAGTTTCTTGATTGGGGTATTGCTTACTTGATTGTTGGCCTGAAGTTGACCTTGGAGTTAATCTATGCTGATCCGAGTGCTGATTACTGGTGGAGAGGTGCTGGAGTCTTTTTCTCTTTTGGGTTGGTTGTCTCCTTTGCATATTCTATAGACATTGCTAATGTCTATGTGTCTAGTGATGGCTGATTTGGCAGACTGCCAGGCTTCTAGAAATTCCCTGGCATTTTTGGGTTAGGCCTGGTCTAGGATTATCACATATTCCCAGTTGAAACTATGGTTAAATCTGTCTCTGTGTTATGAAATTAAAGAATTTTCGTCATGTCTTGTGACTGCCAGTTGGTGTTCATGGATGCATCCTGCCAGGCTTCTGCCTGTTTGTCCTAATAGTGGTTGTTGCAATTCTTACATTGTGTGTTGTAGACGACTCGTTTTTGATTCTGGGGTTGCTGGATCTCTTGGTTTGCTTAGGATGTTTTGAAGGGCTTTAGCTGGCTTGTATGTTATGCTGATTCCATGTGGTTGTTGTAGTCTATTTGTGGCTTCTGAGATATTCTTGATGTATAGCAGTGTAATTTTTTAAGGGTTTGTGTTGGTGTTGTATTCGATTGAGTGGTCGGGGACTGAGTGGTCGGGGACTAGTCAATAAAGTTGGGTGGGTATCCATTTTATTGGAATGTGTTACATAGATGCTGCATTTCTTTTTTCTGCTGTTCTGGGTTGATGCAGCGTGTTTGGGCTCATTTAAATAAAGTCCTTACACAGCTTCTCTTGTGGGAGGTTAGTTTGTTTCTTTGGTAGTGGAGCACCTGGTTAGTATGGGTGGTTTTTCCGTAGATTTGCGTTTTGTTTGCCTTTGTGGTCTTTGTAGATCAGGATGTCCAGGAAGGGTAGTGAGTTGTTTTCATCTTCTCTAGTAAACTGGATTCCTTTAAAAATGTTATTGATGGTTCTGTGGGTGTTCTCTAATTGCTCCTTTTTATTATTACCACAACAGTCATCAACCCCCAGTACAATGGTTATGAAAACATTGCAAACACAACTTGACAACACTGTGCCAGCAGCTGAAGATGATGTATGAATTTGAAGGAGAGACACCTGCATGAGAATTTTCTAGAGCAAGTCCTAGATGTAATTCGACCTACATCACCAGCTAATCTCAAGTGGGTTTGAAACAATGAACCAACATGGGCAGCAAAATCTCAAAGTGGTCAACCAATAAAACCTTTATTGTACTGTGCTTTTACTTAACATCATGTGTTTTGTGCTTGGAAAAACGTAGCATGTCCAACAGGGCCCTGAAATGCTGCAGCTGTTTTTCAACATTATGCATAAAATTTATGTTCACCTTGAGCAAAACCTCACATCTCTTGTATATGCCTCACTTTCTGATAAACCTCTAAATGGTTCATCCATACTGATTGTACTGTACTGGGTGCCACTAACCCCAGTACTGTTAATAAGGGTCATTCCTCACTTGCATCTACCCATGACACAAACTTGTCCTGGAAAGATCTTTCTGATGGGTTCTGTGGTGTGGCTTTAATTTCACCTCTAGCCCATAGATAAAATATTTTTAAAGTTGTTCTTGGCCCTATTGGTGGTAACAACAGCCACAAAACACAGCTACATTGAGATGAAGCCATAGGGATAGGCATAGTCACAGAGAGCTTGTTTGGTGTAGTGGTGAAGGTGTTGGCCTAGAAACCAGGAGACTCTGAGTTCTAGCCCTGCCTTAGGCATGAAAACCAGCTGGATGACTTTGGAGCAGTCACTCCCTTTCAGCTCAACCTACCTCAGAGAGTTGGTGTTATGAGGAACATAGGGAGAAGTATTAGCTATGTTCACCACCTATAAATAAAAGGCAGGGGAAAAATATCTAATAAAAAAGTAAATAAAACAGGAATCTTTTCAAGCTTTGGGCTCACAATCAATCTTGTCCTCCACCCATTCTGTTGTTGTATCCCTAAAGGATGGACACAATAGCCAGTCCCTTCAGATTCACACAGCCCTGTCAAAGCTGCATCTTTTAGCATTGGGTTTCTCCTTGTATTCTTCTGGCAATCCAATTTCACACTGGACTAATTTAGTGATGCCTTAATGGCAGACAGACAGCAGTAATTCAGCCAAAGTGAAATGGTCTAACAGGAGCAGACACCCCTTCCTTCCAATGAAGTTAGGTGGTTTAAAGTCTCTGTACTTCACCAATATGCCCAAGGTTGGAAATTGTATATTTCTGGAACCATTAACCTGGAAGTTTAGGAACCAGACATTTAACTTCCAGCATAACCACTGATCTGGGCATAGTCAACATAAAACATACCTCTTCCCCACAGTATACCTACAGCGATATTCTGAGCAGCTATCATTGCAAGCTGCTATACATACGGTAACATGAACCTGATAAGTGTATTTTTTCTTCTTCTTTTATTAGGAAGGCATATTCTCCTAGATTTAAAATTGAAAGCCCAGACAGCTATTGACAGAGCTATGGTCAGTATGGACTAGCAACTTAATTATCTTTTAGAGTCAGCCCTACCACTCTGGCTATAACCTAGTCCACCACTGGAATGCAACTCCAGAAAACTAAAAGATCATTCGAATCTGGTCAAGACAGTATTGTGCCATCTTCTCTGTGCCTGTGTTCCACTGCAGAGCCTTCATGGAAGTACGTGGCAGAATAAAACAAATTGGTCAAAGAAGATGCAACACCCAAGCTAATGGTGTGGAGAAGCAGTGAAGCTAAGGTTTGGGAGGGAAAGCAAGCTGAGTTTATTCCAATTATTGAAATAGAACGCAGACACACAAAAAGGAAAAGACGCCACACTGTAATGGTAAAAAGATACAAGTTTATAGCATCTTATAAAAACTACAATTTAAAAGTGATCCTGTCCTTGGGTAACACACCCCTGCCCCTATTCCCTTCCCTGCAAAATCAGTGAGTTAAAGGGAAGGAAAATAAATTATCTTAGAAAAAGCTATCGGACCTTCACATTAAGTCCAGAGGCTATCTGGTCAGGCTGAAGTGCTAGATTGTTTTCCTTTCAGGAGGCCTATGTAAAAGCCAAATATGAACTGCAAGAAAAGATCCTTTACATTTTCTTCCTATTTGAACAAACTCCTAAATTAAGACCACCAGCAGCACATCGGAAAGCACCTTAAGGCACCTGATCCATGTGACAAGTACGATTTGTCCTTCTGCTACCAGCACCCAGGAAAAAGAATGGGAATAGCAACAGCTCCCAATGGCATCCATTGTCAAAATGGGATTTCTCACTTCCATGGAGGAAAGGAAGTAAGATGGAGGACACGGGGAAATAAAGCTCCTTCAAAAATGTGCCCCTGGCTGCACTTTAGGGCAACCCAAATACAGGCATTCCTCAGGGTACACAGATTCCAGTCCACCTGACTTTCACACAGGTTGGCTTGCATACACTACCATGTTGTATGCACACAAGACAGTATCTGTCAATTACAGAGGTCTGGACTTGCATACCTCCTGTGGGTCGCATATATAAGCAACATATTAAAGTTAGACAAAGATGCAGGAAATTGTCGCACATACTTTGTAAAGACTGGCTTCTCTATCTCCAGGAGAGACATTATCATAGACAGTGTTGGTAAAATTGTGTGCCTCTATATTCCTGCAAAGGAAGCATACTTCCATGTTTATGCAAAACCCATTTTCCAATCTGCTGCTACCTCGAATTGTCAAGCCATCCAACTCTTTGCTGCAATCACGTCAAAGCAATTCCATCTATTGTTCTGGTACTGAATATTTTAAAACAGGACATTGTTTTTATCTAAAAGCTAACTCTCACTTTCTTGAACTTTCAACAAATTAGTTCTCTTTTCACCTCACCACCTCTGTATAATTTCATTTGAACAAAACAAATTTCATTCTGAAATGGTTTTGGTCCCTTGCACTTTAAAGAGCGGCAATCAGTGAAACGTCCAGACAAGTTTCACTTCCTTTCAATTTCATCTCCGTAGGGAATAAAAAAAGAAGCAAAGATCTTAGTGCAATTATACCCACATGCATAACATTTCTAGTCGGGATGAACCAGCATCAATTAATAGATGCTATCAATTTCATTGGGGTGGGTCAAGCTATTTGTTTAAATAAAACCTCCTCCCACAGAAAACTATTTTCCTCATTTTGCTAACTTACTGTCTGCAGACAATTATTTAACAACAAAATGCTTGAACCCTATTATTTTGTCCAATTATTAAAATTACTCACTGAATTGTTATAGTTGCTCTTTCTGCCTTCTCCCCCATTCTGTTCTTTCAACGCTATGCTGTAGTCCACTTCTGAGCAAAATTCAGCAATGAAAGTCACATGCAACTTGTTTTTGAGGTTAACCTTCTTCTTCCTTCACTCCTGAGCAGGAAAAAAGAGCTGGATATCAAAATTGGCAGATGCCAATTAATGCCTATCCAGATTATTGATAAATGATTGAGCTGGTGTGCAGTGTGCAGCAGCTTATCGAATTCTTCTCCCAGGGTAAAGTGTTAATCAGCCTCCCAAGTTTCTATGGCAGCACCCTACCAAGACGCAGAGCCTAAGCAAAACACATCCCTGTGCTTTTAAAGCTGCACATGCTTTAGACTCTATATAAAGTTTAGAGGAATCAAAACAGCAGAGTCGTTACTCTGCTTGGCACGTAAAGGATCCGGCACTGGGAGGCAGTTCACTCAAGAGATTCACCTTACCTCTTGGGGAAACACTAGGCAACTGTGAATATGCTCTATAATGCCAAGTCTCAATTATTAGATTAAGACTGGAAGGACAGAAAAACATATAGTACTTGATAAAGAAATTTCTTCTATTCAAGCAAGGTTTTTTCTCTCACCTGAGCACATTGCTACTTTCCCCTGAAACAGTTACATTCCAATTTCCTTCCCCCTCCCCCCAAATATCTGCATTTCATCAAGCTTTTTCTTACAGCAATTATTTTATTTCCTTTTGGGAGGGAAACAGTCCTTGGTAAACTGAGAAACATTATGGCAGTGTGTTCTTTCTAAGGAGCAACCATTTTAATTTTTATCAGCCCCACCAAAATTGCAACAAACCTCCTAGAGTTTGGGATGTCCTAATCGTTCCTATAAACTGCAGACCAGACGTTGGTGTTAATTTTAGAAATGTAACAAGGCTGGGAATAATCTTGGGTCTTCCTATGAATAAAGGGAAGGGAATTAAAGAGCTCTTTTATAAAATAAAATATGATCTCCTCTACAGTAACACTCCCCAAGCTAATGTACTCCAGATTTGTTGGGACTACAACTGCCATGATCTCTAGAAGGAAGGTGATCAAAAGAACAATGCCTATTACTAGTACACTGGCATCTCTTAAATCAGGGTGGTCAAACTCCCGGCCCATGGGCCAGATGTTTAACATGCCGGCCACGCATACATCCGGTATAGCAAAGAGGAAAAAAGTACAGATACATCACGTGACACCGCCGTGATGACTTTTGACAGCCCTGTCTTAAATGGTTGAAGGGGGAAGGGTGTGTGGAGACAACAATCTTGAACTGAAGCAGTGATTTTTCAAATTTGGTAATTTTTAAGATCAGCTCCCAGAATTTCCCAGCCACACATCTGGGAGTTAAGAAGCTCACACCTTTTAAAGTTGTTAAGTTTGAAAAACACTCACCTAAGGTATCCCATCTTTGTTTATAAACCTTTCTAGTTGCATAGGCAGAAATGCAGCCCCTCAAGGATGGCCAAACAAAGACTACCATTTCTCTATCAACACAGCCCTTGATTAAAACCTGGCTTAAAGCAAGGTGCTTATGGCAAACTTAGAAGTTAACTCAGGGAGGGATGTATTTGAAGCACGTATGAGATTTGTATCTATCATTCAGATGGAGGTGCTTGTTCCTAACAAGTAAATTCTAGTCTCGGTGACAAATTATTACTTGCCCTCTAGAAAGACCATTGTAAATGGTGTGGGATGAGAGACTTAGAAGGGTTCCTGGCTTCCCTTGCAAACTTGCCGCTGCCTGTTGCAACTAAGCTGAAATAATAGCACACATAAAAGTTTGCATATCGACAACAAGCCTTATTTTCAAACTTCAACGAAGCAGCCCAGGAGCAATCCGAATTCATGGTGCATGGGAATGCTGACCTTTAGTCCTTGAGTATTTTATTCCAAGAGCCGTATCAAGAAGGCCAGAGTGCCACTCCCCATTCTCCCCCACAGAGGCTGCAGTTCTTCAGCGAGGAGATAGGTGCCCGTGGGCCAGAGCTGGCTTTTCACTTATTTAGGAAAACAGAATTGCCACCCAAGAAACCTCTGGATTCTGCGGTGAAAGGGTATGTAACAGGTAGGTTCTGAACAGATGACTATTTACAAGGGAAGGCAAAGGGACCACGCGCAAGTATCCTCCCCTCCTGGGAGGAAAACAGAGCCTTCCAGCCAGCTGAATATCAACTGGATCTTGATAAATGGAACACATCTAAGGTAGACTTCTATGTTGACCCAACAGCATTTGTCACCTTCTGCAGCCCTTGTTTCTTGAAACCTGAAAGCTGAGACCACAAATCACTGTTGAAGAGAATAGCACGGAAAGGGGGAAGTCCAGTGGGCCTTATGGCCTAGCGTCAATGAGACAGATTCCTGTGATCCCCAGGTCTCAGCATCCCGCCGTCCCTGATGTGGATCAGCTCCAGCAAAATAGTTCACTGCTTGACTGGTAGTGATCACTGTTTCTCATAAAATATTTGCCTGTTGTTCTCCCACTTTTTTTTTTTTTTTTTGCAAGCCCAAATATCAGGCCAGCTGGCAGGTCATCTGTTAATTGAGAGCACCGGATCTGGTCGGAATGGCTCGCAAGAAGGCCCAGCGATGCTTTCAAAGCCTTTCCTGAGGCAAATGGTGATAATTTCAAAAACAAAAAAAACAAAAAAAAACAAACCCTAAACAGAAACAGAAAGCGCACCCCGTCAATGTTTATCCACAACTGCAGTGAGCTTCCCAATAGCTGGAAGCCAGCCCTGCTTTGTCCTCCATGTATTTACAGTGTCAAGACCATAGTTGAAGTCTGTGCCTGCTCAGCTCTGCCCCTTCCACAGGAGTAGGCTCAGCAGGCAAACTCGGGCACAAAACACAAGCAGGGGAACAAGCCCACTCCCAGAGTATCTGGTGGACTTCCCAGCAACTTCTTAAAAAGCCTCTTCTCTGGCCCAACCCTAAAGCAGTAGCTGGGAGTCAGATGCTTTGCCGGGGCAGCCCTGGCACATTCGTTTGTGTCTCAGCAACCGGTCTGTCCTGGAGAAGCTCTGTGAAAGGGAAAAGAGAGAAAAACAAAATCCAGAGAGATGGCCAAAAAGACAAGGTTCTGTGCCAGAGGAGGGGAAAACGATGGCCTCTTTATGACTTGTGGACTTCCAAGTCCCAGAATTCCTGAGTCAGTAGGAAGTCCACAAGTCATTAAAGGGCCATCGTTTTCTCAGCCCTGCTCTATGCAAAACCAAAAACCCTGCATTCTAGGTTAGTGCAGTTGAAAACCGAACATGGAACCGTGGGCCTTTGTGACTGGAAATAGGAAGATCCTGGGGCGAACCCTCCTTCTGTCAGGGAACCTCACTGTGAAGGAGTTATACTTTCTCTATCTCTCATAGAGTTATCCCTCGGGAAAAAGTTAGAAGAGGGAATAATCTGTGCTCCACACGAACTTTCTAGAGGATAAAAAAAAAAAGAGCTGAACCTCAACTAAAATGCATGATTTTGTAGTTTTCCTTTCAGTTTTGCACAGACATAGAACTAAAATGGCCGGCCTAACTAAGTTAATAACTAAAATGAACTGGCTGGCTAGTTCAAACTCCTGCTGGAAATTCTGGACCTTCTTTAGGAATGCCAGATCACAATTATGGAATGACAATAAAATCCACGGCTGACAGGGCTTCCGGTTTGAGCTTCTTCAGCGACAGACCGAAACCTCGTCTCTGCGAGGCTTCGATCCGTGCTCGCCGCTGGAGCGCCCCGAGCCGGCTGGTTTCGGGGCTAAGCCACCCCGGAGAGGTGGTGAAGAGGGGGGAGACTGCCAGCAGGGTTGAGGAGAGCCGCATCTCTCCTCCCCAGCTGGCCATTACTCCCTTTCCCGAAGGCGGTTGCAGCGGTGGTCAGAAATGGCCACCACAAAGAAGAACTCGACTGGAAAAGAAGGTGCAGGAGGAAGATAAGAAGAGAAAGTTTTGGTTGACCGGGTCAAACAGCAAAAGCAACAAATAAGGTACCCTGGAATTGAAACTGTTAAAAAACAATAACATTGATCCCTAAGAAGATTTTTAAGCTGCGAAGGAGAGAGAAAAGGGAAAAGATTTGGTTTTCTCCTTTTCCTATACTGACAGCTAAGAGACTTAAGCAAGAAATTGGAAAAAAATCCACTTTGACATCAATAGGCATTTAATGCTGAAAATAAAAAGTCAAAGGGATAATAAAGATTTCTGGATAGTTA